CCCCAAAACCCCAAAACCCCAAAACCCCAAAACCCCAGGTCATATGTTGTGCTAGGCAATTAACATTTTAATTAAAATCAGAGAGATGATTTCTAATATAGTATGAATGCATTAATAATATTTATCACTTATGATATTAATTCTCGTAGAAATTAAATTTAATGTCAAGTCTAGGTATATAAGTGTTTATAATTAAACATTCATCAAGATCATTATTATTGATTATCATTTTAAATAATGTAGTCATCTGAATATCATTCCTTTTAGAAAGTTGATACTTTTCTCGAAGTTTTCGTTTGATGAAGCCATATGTTTGCTTTTTTTATTTTATTTGTGGCTAGAAGCATCTAAATAATGCTGAAAGATATGTTTAAAAGCATCCCATTAGCACAAAAAGCATAATCTTTGATAAGTAAACTGATGGATAGAAACATCAATCAATTTTATTATTTTTTTTCCACTCTCATCATCAATTAGTCTTATCATTTTATTTGGATAAAAAACTGATCCAAGAAAGAATACCAGCTCATTGAATAACTAATTTTAACTTAAGGCTGGGTCATCATTTTAATTTTCTTCAAATCCTAGTGAGCTTTAAAATAGCTTTATGACAAACCTTTAGATAGCGAATAGATAATATTTTTAATGTCGATATCTGCTCACACTTGAGTATTTGCTATTTTCCTTGAATTACTACAGATATGTTCTTCTTATCTCTCTAATTGCTCTTTTCAACGCGACATCCTTTCTTTTTACTGATTTTAAGTGAATTTCTTTTTAATTCTTAAGTAACTCAAGGGATTCTTGGCAATCAAATCTTAGAAAGTATTTTTTCTTGACAAGGTCTATCAGAGGAATAATACTTATTTGTGAAATCTTAAAATCGTAATCTTTATTGTATCATACATTTGCTAAGCTTTAATCTAAAGATTTAAGATGATCGTTCTAATTCTCATGTTAGTTTACTTCTAACAATTTTTGTGACTTATTCAAATTTATGTACTCATTAGTGAATTTTGATATACTAGTTAGGGTATCATCATTGTCATTTTTTAATAAATTGTTTTTGTTAGATGCATCTTGATTTTAGGAATTACCAAACATTTTATAGTATTCCTGAGAATTATTAGAATTTATCTGCAATTAATCTTCTTAGACATTTGGATTTTAATCTTGATGGTTTACATTTTACGGAGAATCATCGTCGTGCTATTGAACATTGGAGTTTAAAACTGTGAATCCATATTACTTATCCAAATAATTTTCAAGAGGCATTTCATCATAGTATTATTTGTTATCTAGAATTTTTGTTTGAGGTTTGAGCACTTAATCAGTTATCTAATCGAAAGTTTTTGTATCAATAGTGATCTAATACATTTGTTATTTTCAAACAAGTTATATCTTGTTAAATATATAGAGCTTCACTTTATTTTAGAATTAAATAGTAAATTAGTTTCAATCCCAATCGAAATATTGATTAGACGGGGTTTTGGGGTTTTGGGG